CCTAATATTGTAGATCATTTTGTGTTTTTAATATCAACAAACTCAAAAGAAGTATAATACAGCAACAAAACATTAATCATGCGTTTATTTCCTTTCTCTGGATGAATTTCAAAAGATGTGTCCATCTAATAAATAAGCCAGGTTAGGAGAGAGAGTGAAAGAGAGAGAGTGGAGGTAAATAGGAGCAGTTCCTGTGACAACAGTTTCCATGGATTACCTGGTTGTTATTCCTCCCTCTGCAAATGGACTCCAGGGGGAAGGGAAGTCATTATCTTTACTCACATCCTGTGGAAAGCCACACATGCACAAAAATAGAAATTCTAAAAAGCTGCATTTTTAAATTTGCAGATATACTTTTTTCCTTTTCAATGTGTTCTTACAATTAATTGAATGCAAACAGAAACTGAAAGTAGTACTGAGACATTATTATTGATTAAACTTTATATTATCATCACCATTTCAGAATGAGCCTCAGTTTCCTTCCGGAGGGGTGGTTCAAACTGGAGCTTGTCGACTGCAAATGAGAAAACTGTCGTCAGTTTCTTTTAATCGTCTTGCACGCACCTTTAGCACTAGAGGGCATCAGTGCACTTCAAGACACATAAAGCCTTGGGGGTAGTTGTGCATTAGTAGAAGGAGCTCTGGGAAACATTCTTTGAGCCCATTCTTAATAAAAAAATCCCGTGTTAGAATGAACCAGAAGCAGATCAACTCCACTACAATGTACCTGCCAAAACACCACAGAGGTCCGCTGTAGATTTATTATGCTACTGTGTGAATGTTTAGACCGGAGCCTAAAGACAAGTTGTCAGCAAAGACAAACACAGATTACACTTGACACTAACCAGATCTGTTCACTTTGGGGAAATATTGGTGCGAGCGCAAAACATTACAAATAAATCATGGAAAAGATTCCTCTTAGCTTAGGTTTGAGGTCACATTCTTTTAAACAGTTGGTCCCATGGAGGAGACTGGTTTAGTGTCCAGTATAAACATGGTGTGCTCCGGCTGTAATTATGAAGGCGAAAGAAATCAACCAACCTGCCAATAAATACTCCCACATAATCAGCTCCTCATTAACAAAGAAACTTTGTACTCAAGAATTTAGACCACAAAGAGTTTTTCTCAGTGTGTTTTCCTGCCTGAGGTATGCTGATAATGTGGAGGTGCTGCAGCATTTAAAACACAGATAACAGGGAAGAGGTGAGTCACTAACAGACTTATGAAACCGACACACAGCAAAACATTTGAGAAAGTCAAAAAGGTGAGACGTACGAGTCAAAGTTAACTTCCTTGTAAGGATCTGATTAGTCACTGACAATGTCATTTTATTTCAATCAGTCAAACAGGAACCAAGATGTCACAATGTCCAAATTATTCAACCTTATTAACAGTAAGTTACCACCCCATGCAGACAAACTCACCTTATTAGTGCCACTTAAATCTCAAACACAATGTTCTGTTATGTGCTACATTATCCTATTCCTCAGGAAGTCTTAGGAGTGAGCTAGGGAACAAACACACACACTGTCTCACTACACTGTCACTAACCTGCGTCCCCCCTGTGTCCCTCAGTGAAGCTGGGACTTGAGCATGGCCCTCCTTGGTCTGTCCCATTGTTTGCTTCATGTAGGAGGGAAAGTTAGACGTAATTGTGAGAAATATAGATAAAACTAAACAGGAAGTGCATCTGGTACAAACAATCACAGTACGAACAAGAACAAAACACAATGAAGCTACAAATGAATATGACAAACATCTAAAAAGACACATATCTCAACCCTGGACTGTTACTACATCAACCCAACATGGTGAAATGAGTCACACTTATGACATGATAGGGAACAACAAAGCACCCAACTTCATCTGCAACAACTGACGACGACAGACACACAACAACTTCCCTGAAGGGTTGCAAAATATTAAATATACACAATCTATTTAACTGGAGCCTCTGCCAAATTCAGTACCAACAAATGCTGACTGAAAACCAAATTCCTTAAGAAACCTTTAGGACCCCTTCAGACAAGCTATTTCACATTATTCATCGAGAAAACAATGAGGGACTTGCTACTTAACAATAGCACACGACACAGAAGCATCATGGGCTCTACTACATCCACTTTCTCTTCCATGAATCCCCAGGCTATTTTTACAGACACTACCACATGCTGTGGCCTGGAAACGTGCCAGCCAGTGCTTCAGGATTAGTGGGATGACCCTGAGACAAACCGCCGGACCTCTATCAGGCTAAATAGTCTGCCTGACTGACATGCTGACCAATGACGAGATAGATTCATGACAGGGGGGGGTGGCCATAGTCTTGGTGATAGGTTGGGTTTTTTTTGTTCACTTACAGTCTATCTCTGAGCGTGTCCTCTCCGCTCTGGCTTGTTTGTTGGTGGAGCGGATGGTGTGTCTGACTGCAGAGAGGGGCTGAAACAAAGAGTGAAAGAGACAGAGATTTTAGGTTATGGAAACAGGCTTTGACACTGCGAGCAGCACTTGACGAGACAAGTGGTTAAAGTGTTCTCAAATGATATAACACCAACACTTCATTGCCTTGATGCATTTGAGACAATTATGACGTGTCTTTTGAAGCAAATTCAGAAATGTGTGTGTCACAAAGCTGCACTGAGATCTACTTTCAGTACTGCGTATTTGCATCATCACATTATTATGCATCCCAGAGGCTGTTTGTTTGCCACAAGCTCCATTGCATGCACTCAATAGCCTTCAGGGTTTTTTCATTCATCATGGCCAAGACAGTGCTACTGCTGTCAGGGGGAGAAAAGCACAATGGTCTTTTAAAAAGGCACTGGTACCACCTCTTTGGCTGCCACATAGATGTGATGTTGATTCCAGTTGGAATAATAATGTCGATGGAGAGAATCAGGAGAAGGGGGAAGGGAGGTTTAAGGGGAACATGAAAACACACTCCAGCAAAGTTCACCTTTCAACTTTTATTGCCAAGTGGCTGAAAAAACGTGCTGTGCTAATATTTACATTCACTGCTGACAGAGTGGGTCAGTGTTCTACTGGTTTTGGTAGAATTTCATTTTGTTGTTTTTTATAATTTTCCATCAACCAGACAGTCAAAAAAATCAACAAATGGAGCACATTTATGAGGATATACATTATGAGTATTTTCTATTTGATCACTTCTTTGAAGGGCGTGTAGACTTTCCTTTTTATTTTTTGAAAGCAAAGGCACATTTCCCAGAGTCTTGGTGCTATTTTTACAAGTGTATGTGACAGAATCAGGCATTACCTCGAGGTCATCATCGTCCACCTCACTGTAATGCTGGTGGTTGTCTGGGTTGTTCATCTTATCTAGGAGGTCAACAGCGAGCCTCCTTGTCAAACCCGTCTGGGCCACGTAGACATGCTGCAAGAAACAAGACAGGATTGCAAGTTATAAACTGGTGTATATTTTGAGAATAATACATCGGACATCTCTAATCTCACATACAAGGTCCGTACGACCTGGAACATTAAAATCTCTGCAGAAATGGAAATCAAAGCCCTAGTTTCACTATTATAGAGTAATTAAACCATCTGCATTAATCATCAGATTCCTGGACCACTAGGATGGGACACCTTTCCTCAGAGACATGCACCGTGTTAATGATGATAGAAACTCTTAAGAAGCAGGAGAAATGTCTGCTTCTTAAAAGATTCTTCTCCTTGGTGCATGCACACAGGCTGGTCTTAATTATGAAGTAATATTAAAGAATGGAATTGCTAATAACTTCTATTTAATACATTTGCTGTAATTGGATTTAAATGACTGTAAGGCCAGGGTCTGACTCTAACTCAAACAGCCAAAAAGTCAGCCAAAACACACAGAAGCTCAGTGGGCCAACTTAGATCCTCTATAATCTAGGTAGGTAGGTAGGTAGGTAGGTAGGTAGGTAGGTAGGTGGGTGGGT